CACCAAAAGTTCCTGGCTCATACTTCTCATTCTTATTCTAATGATATTTGTGCAAATATGAAAAATTACCTTATTGCTCTATAGTGAAGCAAAACTATAACTTTATATTCTCTGTGAATTAATACTAGATTTATTTCCTAGGAAATGTTTTCTTATTTTCTTTTGAGGTTCCAGTAGAATGAGAATTAAACTTGGGATGACATGGTATACTCATTTTAAAGCTTTTCATTACATGTTAATAGTCCAGGGATTTTATAATCAAATATGTCAGGTATTACATGTACATCAACACTGTGATATACAGTTTATGGAAATTATTATTAAAAGAGAATATTTTTAATAATATCTTCACCCAGAATTGTTTATAAATGTTAAGTACACACTGATAGTATTTAAACCTCTTTATATTTTCTAAGACAATAGCTTAGGAAGGCCAAATTATGAGATGAGGAATGCTGTACACAGAGCTTGCTATGGCATACATTTGGAGCTGGAGAAAACTCTTCGATAGTAAAAAGAGCAATCACTACAATGTACAAAATTCTGAGTCCAACTAACTCCACACGCAAAAATCTATAACCTACATTCTTTCTGAAGACTAATTGATTGCAAGTTTTGAATAAGCTACAAACTTGATGACATGATAAAACGTGCCACGTGAACTCCAAGATACATACTTCTTACTAATTGTCATTAGTGATCGGTGTGGGCTGCATCGTGACAATTGCTGCTTGACAAAGTTCCAGCATTTCAACATTGCAGACCATACTTCTCCAGTACCTTTTTACTTTCATTTTTAATGATTCTTGCTATTAATGTGTTTCCTTTTGAGAAATTTTGTGCAAGCTTTGGTAACAGATGAAAATGTCCACAATGGTAGCCTCTCTAAACAAAATAATTCCTTGGGAAAAAAATCCCACCACCTCGAAAGTAGGAATTCCATTGTGCCCTCCTAATCTACACCAAGAATGGGAAAATTAGAGATTTTCTAGATACACCTGATCCCAAGGATGAAATGACTTATAATTCAGAACCAGAACCTGAGGCCATTGAGGTCAAGAGTTCAGTTAATAAGCATAGAGGAGTCAGTATGACATAAAAAGAGTAAGACATCATGACCTTCCCTTTTGGGAGTGTTCTGAGGGAAACAGGTCTATATAGTAAGACCAAAACACAATTAGGGAGCATCTCAGTGCTTACCCTCTTGACAAGGAAAGTATAGGCTTCCCCAAACTTTCTCTAGAACTCTGTCATTTGGACGCCCCTGCCTACAAGTGAGGGAGTCTGGGAAAGTGTGTATAGCTGGGTGAACTGCTCTTAAATTGTAGCCTAGTATCTGGCCCCAGAAGAAGTATTTTCCCAAGGTCAGGCATTTGAATTAGGGCATCTATATCCTCCAGGTTTTGAGGAAAATTCCTGTTAGCTAAAAAGGGAGACAGTCTTATCTATCTCCAAAGAAACTTGTGGCTCTTTCATTCATACAGACTCATCAATGTCAAGGCTTTCTTCTTCCAGTCCCTGATCTCAAGGCGCATCCCACCTCACAAGCCCCTTTTGTTCTGTTTAATCCTACGTGCTATAAAAGGTGTAGTCTTTGGGACCTGAACCCCCACTGAAGCATGTCTCCAGCAAATGATATGAAAACCTAATGTAGTACAGCCTAAATTATATGTACAACAGTTCTAGGAAATATAAGAAAGTACTCAGCTAATAGTGATTTAGTCAAGGTGATTCTTTTTCTTTTAAGCATCCTAAATTAGCCACATGCTATCATGTAAAACTGAAAATACAGTAATAATTTTAACATTCCTTTTCCATATTAATTTAATTGTTCTATATTAGTTGTCTGTTCAAATAAATCTCTGGTTTCTGATATAAACAATGTATTCACAGGTATTTTTTAACACATGTTTCTGTGAATTAATGTTTTTAACAACGTATTTACAGATATATAATTTATTATCTCATTTAAATTTTATAATCTATTGATTTTTACCAAGGTAGTTTGAAGAATAAAATGGTTCATTCCTAAAATAATTAACAAGAATATATTTGAGTGTGGAGATCAAGGAAAAATAAATAGCTCAGTGTTAGATATCTGAAGTTTAAGATGGCACTAAGACACAAAAGGATATACCTTAAATTGATCACATACTTGAACACAAAGAAAGTCTCAACAGATACAAGAAAATTGAAATAACAGCCTGCATCCTATCTGCCCACTGTGAATTAATTAATCTGGATATCAACTACAGAAAGCTTACAAACTTATGAAAAATGTATAACTCTAAACTGAATAAAAATGGGGGTAAGACAAACTAAGAAATTAAAGAAGTTCTAGAATTCAATAAAAATAAATACACAGCATACCCAAACTTATGGGACACAATTAAGACAATTTACAGAGTCAAGTTCATAACATGAATTGCCTACATTAAAAAAAAAATTGAGAGATCTCGAAACAGAAATTTACCTACACACTTTAAAACTCTGGAGAAGAAGAAGAAACCACACCCAAAAAGAGAAGGTGGCAAGAAATAGTCTCACTCAGGCCTGAGATTAATAAAATAGAAACAAAACAACAAAAAAATACAATAATACAAATCTTAGAGAAAATCAATACTATTGACGAAAATAGTATTCAAAATAACTAACAGGCAGAAAAAATATCTAAATTAACAAAATTAGAAATGAGAAGTAGTACCTAACAGACACTGAAGAAACCCAGAGAATCAATAGGATATATTTTAAAAATCTGTACTCCACAATATTGGAATGTCTAAAAGAAACTGATAATTTTTTAATATGTACAACTTACCAAAGTCAAATCAAAATCAAATAAGCAATTAAACAAACCTATAACTCCTAGTGAAATATAAGCAGTCATTAAAAGTGTCTCCTGCCAAGAAAAAAAAAAGGCCAGATGGTTTTTGAGAATTCTGCCAGCCTTCGAAAGAAAAGTTAATGCCAATTCTCTTCAAATTATTCCACAAACTAGAAACAGAAGGAAAACTGACCAGTTGATTTTACAAGGCCTCAATTATCCTGACACTCAAACAACATAAAGACTCAAAAAAGAATTACAGACCAATTTCCCTTATGAATATAGATGCAAAACACTCAATAAAATATGTGCAAACAAAATGGTAATTAGCAGCATAAAAGGCCTTTGACAAAACCCAATACCACTTCATGATAAAAGTCCTGTAGAGCTTAGGGATACAAGAGACATACCTCAACATAATAGAGGCAATTTACAGCAAGTTGCTTTAAGTGCAGAGAAACTCCAAGAAAATAAAGCCCTCTAATCAACATGAGCAAAGCTCATATGAACTCACAGAGACTAAAGCAGCATGCACAGGACCAGTAAGACTCTGTACCAGGCTCTCAGCAAAAATACATGGCTTCCAGTTTAGTATGTTTATGGGATTCCCGGGTGTGAGAATGAATGGGTCTCTAATTCTTGGGTCTTCTCTTGGTTTGTCTTATCCTACCTCAATGTGAAAACTTTTGTTTTATCTTATTATATTTTATTTTGTTATATTTTCAAGAAATGAATGAATAAATGAAAGCATAGCCACTAGGGTGAAAGTCAACAACGAACTATCATTTATTCCTGCTGGCTAGGGAAATCAGTTTTCTCTAAAGGAGTGGTGCTAGGTACACCAACCCCTCCAGGAAACACCTCATGTTCAGGAATAGTTGGTCAACATATAATGAACTGGACCGCTGTTTCTTTTTTCTTTCTTCTTCTGTGTGATTTTATTTGGTTGCAATTTGCTGAGTTTTTTTAATTTAATTCTTTTTTATTAATTTATAAAAATTTCCACTTCCACCCCACCTCCCAATACCCTCCCACTCCCTCCACTCCCTCTCCTCCTCCCTCTCCAGCCCTAAGAGCAATCAGGGTTTCCTGCCCTGTGGGAAGTTCAAGTTCCTCGCCCCTCCCTCCAGGTCAAGGAAGGTCATGTGCCACCACCATGGCTTCAGTGTCTCTTGAAAGTGCATATACACATGTGCACACACACGCATAGACACAAATAACACAAGATACTGGTTATGTTACAGAACCTGGTCAAACCACTGTTAGATATGGCTAGCCATGATTAGTCTGGCATTTTGGATGACATCACAAGGACGCATTATAAAGTATGCTAACAACTACTCTGTTTTAGGCACTGCCTGCATTGGGCTCCTGTCCTTCTATCTCGAAGTAGCTGGTGACAGAATATTGGCTGTGACAGACTGGTCATCTCCAGTCTACTAGACTTTGATAGAGTGAGTTCCTTTCCAGTTATTGGTTTTGGTTCCAGGGTTAAGTTTTGCTATTTCATGTTTACATGTATGCTATTAGTTTACATCCTAGGTTTGATTTATGAATGTTCTATTTTTTCATTATTACCCAATTTTCTGTTTCAAAATTCATTTATTCTTTACTTTTTTCTACTGTGGTTTCAATTTTCTTCAGATGGAACACGTGTTACTGTAAACTAACCATAGCAATTACATTATATATTTCCCATCCATTTCTAGCCTGTATTTTGGTCAAACTCTCCTGCTCTATCACTTCCTCCACTCCATCTCTGTGTCTAATACTGTTTCTTTGATAAATGCTCTGCCCTCCTCTTCCTTAAACCCGCAGAAGAAGAAAATATCATATTTCTCTTTGTGGACTTTGTTCATCTTAGATGAGATTTACACTATGTGTAGCTACTTTCCCAGAGCATAAGTGATCAGTGATCCCTGTGTCTGAGTATGGGCTCCTCCCCAGAATCTGAACAGATGCTGCCACATTCTTATTCAGTGTCTTTATGTCAATTATCTCTGGATTATTCTTGTACTTCTTGGTCTTAAAGGCATAATTAGGTTGTTTGGGTTATCTCAGATTTCAAGACAGAGAATTCATACCTAAACCTACATTCTAAAACCATAATCATTTTTTCCCTAGCATCGTGTGTCCTTGAAATTTTCCAAAATACAGAGAATGTGAGGTAACCATCATGGCCAGCACCCAGGAAGAAGACATCCTTAAGAAGAATTATAAATTTTTAACATCTCTAGGTTGTGCTGCATTTGAGGAGGTGAAAATTGCCCAACACCTTTCCATGAAAACGCAGGTGGCTTTCAAGGTGCTTGAGAAAGAGTACAATGATGAGGAGTACATCAGGTCTGAAGTTGCGATGCATAAGTCCTTGCAACACAGCAACATCATCCAGTTATTCCATGCTATCAACACGCTGCAGACCACCTATCTCATCATGGAATACCTTAAAGAAAGGAAAAGACCTGGTGATGTTGATCAGGGAGGTGGGCTGTCTAAAGGAGGAGGAGGCTAGGCCCATAATCAATCAGTTGGCATCTGCTGTGCACTTCCTGCACCAAAGACGGATCACGCACCGCGACATCAAGCTAGAAAACATCCTGCTGGGAGAAGGCAGCAAAGTCAAACTTTGTGATTTTGGGTTGGTCACTCAGCTTGCAGAGGGCCAGATGCTGGAGGAGCTGTGGGGCACCTTCCCATATTTGGCCCCTGAGATCTTGGCCGGAACACCATATGACGCTATGGCAGGGGATATGTGGAGCTTAGGGGTTGTCTTCGACGTCCTGGTCACCGGAAAATTACCCTATGTAGCATCGACCCCCGAAGCTATGTACTATCTGATCACCACCACCCCGTGCCGCATTCCATACCATCTTTCTAAGGCCTGTTATCTCACCTTGGCCAGACTGCTCACGGGTTACATTTGGTCCAGGCTTACATCATCTCGGCTTATGGAACGACCTTGGCTGGGCCATATTCAGGAACACGTAACATCTCCTGCCAAGGAAATCCTCCCCAAGGCTGTGGAGACCATGTGTAACATCGGGTACACCTGTGAGCAGGTTGTATCGTCGCTAAAAGACCCAGAGTCAAACCTAACAGCAACGATTAACATCCTAAAATTCAAAGTGAGCTCTGGGGATAGCAGTCTGCAAAATATCATCCCTGCAGTCGCTATTAGTGTCCCTGTCGCCATGAACAGGAACCACAGTGAACCGGCTCTGCTGTCCAGATGCAGATGCAAACCTCGGCTCCACACACACACCTGCCCGGAGGAGCTGCACTATTCAGATAACACAGCCACAGAAGGAGATGCACTGGCCACTGAAACCATCAAATCCACTACAGGGGACACCACAGTCAACATGATGTCACTAGACTGCCGGGCTGATGAATCCTCCACCCCTGAGCCACCTCTGAATGGGAAATGCATAGGGCTGGTGAACATGGTCTTCAGCGAAGAACAATCCACAGAGTCAGAGGTGACCAGTGAACAGGCCCAGGTTGTACCCACAGCCTCTGGAACTCCGGGGAACACAGGCCACTCCGGGGCTGGAAGCTGATGAAGAAGAGAATTTCCCGGGCACTGAGAGCACTGTGCTCTGCTGCCTGCCCGCCCCACGTGGGCAAGCGGAAGTGGCCTGGGAGAATTCTGGCCCTGGTAAGGAGTGCCTGATGCAGGAGGGAGCCAGGCAGAAACTCAGAGGGTTGTGGTCCTGCAATCAAGGGCAACAGGCCCCTGCATCCATACTCCAGCTACAGGTTCTGAGCTGCCTGTCCATTTCTCCTTTAGCTTACTGCTGCCAGATCCAGGGCTGGACAGAAGGCCCATCTGCCCACTGAGCCTCCACCTCCCCAGCTTTGGTTTACATTTAGGACTCTTACCCACAACATATAACACATCTCCCTCTGCAACTAGCAATGACTGGGATGCCCACCTCATGCTGATCATCATCTTGGTCACTTCCTCCTCTCCAACTTAATTTGGGACTGTCTGTCAGGCAGACCTGCAACAACGCATGTCTTTGAATCTGATTGGCAGGGACAATGGATACAGAGTTAGAGCTTATGCTTGAGTCTGAACCCCCACTCCTTCACTAGTTCTGATTCTGGTGTTATTTGATTTTTTAAATTTTTACTTGTTATTTGTTAATTTTTGTATATTTCAAAAAAATGTTTTAATTAGTATACTTTGGAAGTACAATTTAAATAGAGAAAGTATTACATATATGATTTTTCCCTCTGTTGTTAATGCTTCATGTAAATATCTGAACACTCATTAGTTACTATAAAAGCCTAATGTGGACAATAAATATTAATATTAGCCAAAAAAAGAGAGGAACTTCTTGTCCTAGCTTGTAGGAGAAACTGTCAGTCAGCCTTCCTAAGCCTTAGCTCTCCTGCCAAAACCAGCCTACCCAAGCCTTAGCCATCCTGCCAAAACCAGCCCACAAGAGCATGCATGGCAGGAACTTCCTCCCTTAACCAATCGAAGGCCTGCTGCTATGCCCAGAGAGTGCTGACTAATGGACATGTGACCGGAGTTGCCAATGAAGGAAGAACAACACCGAAGAATTGGCCACCTGAGCCAATGGGACCTTGGGATGGGATATGAGAGGCCTGCCCATACTCTCAATAAAGGAGTTGGCTTTTCGTAGTCACCAGACTTCCAGAGTCTATGTGGTTGGCTCCATGCCTTCTCGCCCCCTCCCACAAGTGGTTTCCCTGCTGGGTTGCCTCAACACAGGTTGATCTTGGCTCAGTTTTCCTTCAAAAATCTCTCCCTCCTTCTCCTGCCCTTCTTCTCTCTATTTTTTTTTTTGTGGCCTCTGTTCACAGGTGACTCTCATGAGCTCACCATCTCATCTTGTCCTGGCTCAGTAGGAGCCCAGGCAACATCAGCCCACTCTGTCCTCCCAGGCCACCTATGAGAAGAGGACATTTAGTCCCAGTCCGCCTCACAGAAAGTCCTATCTCTGAGTATCTTCAGCTTCATTGCCCAGACTAGTCACGAGGCTATTGTTGAGTCAATCACTGTGTCCTAGGTAGTATGATGTTCTGATTGGCCAGGCCTGAGTCATAAGACCACCCAGGCTGTTCACGAAACTAATTTCTTTAGAAGCACAGACACTGAGAGTAAAGGCAAAACAATGGACTGGAAAAGAAGGGCAGTTATCAGGTATGGGTGCAGGCCAGCTTCCTGCTAATGATCAAAGCAGCCTCAGGACATCAGTCACAGGGACAGAAGGGCAGGTTAAGTTGTCTTGTCATTCTCATTCCACTGGAAGACTGACCCAAACCTCTCTGCCCAGAGAAAACTTGTAATTTCTTTCTTCACTTTTAGAATTTTAATTTCACATGTCTGGAGGTCACAGAATAACTGATAGTCAACTCTCACCTGCCATGTGGGTCCCAGGGATCAAACTCAGGCCTTTCCTCTTGGCAGCAACCATATATACACCCGGGGAGACTTGCGGCTCTGCCGTGTGCTTGTCGCTCTGCCTTCAGCAGGAAGGTTTGAAGTCAGGCCACATTTTTCATTTGTTCTCTAGCTAACCCAGAGAGGGTGCTTTGTGACCACATGTGGTTTAAGAACTACCCCTAGTTTTCATTTGATAAAATCTCTGGTAAAGATTGGAGGTTTGTGAGATCAGATCTGTGAAGAAGTAAAAGGAATAGATGTTAATGCCAGGATGAGTACACTAAAGCACCCAACATAAATGAAGATACACTTAATGTACTCATCTCCCAAGAAAAGGGGGAAAATGGCAGCAACCATTCCTGAGGTCAGCTGAGGATGGAATAAAAAGCAATTCAGATTAATTGAACAATAAGGGAATCAAATGTAACATAAATCTTTGTTCAACAATGTCTTAAATTTTAATCTCTAATTTTGAGGCTCCTCTGGGCAGCAGAATAATGCAATCTTCATCTTCGGTGGCAGAATTGATGGAGATCACAAAACTGCTGGGTCCAAGACTCTACAAAACAGCTTCTATTGCCTTTGACACTTTATCTATTGTTAGAAGTGGGTCCAATCTCTCCTCACACTCATCATTAGGAGACCTTGGGATGCAAGTACCAGACACTTGACTCTACTCTTTAAAGAAAAACATCTGATGGTCCTTACTTTCAGTTCGTATTCCTCAGAGTTTGCAAGGTGGCTGCTACAATAGCAGGTACCATTACCACTTTTCATCAGCAGTAAGAGGGAAGGTGGTTCTGTGAAAACTTGTGGACCCGAGTTCAAGTCCTCAGTACCAATGTAATGTCAGAGTCATTGGTTTGTGCATTTGTGATCCCAGCACTCCTACAGCAAGATGGGAGGTAGAGGCAGGACAGTTCCCAGGAGCTCACAGACCACTAGCCTGAATATACAGTGGCTGTGAGCCTCTGTATCCAACAGGTGGAGGACAAGGACCAACACCCAAACTTTTCCTTTGACCTCCATGTGTGTTCTGTGATACACAGAGCCCCATCATACATATTGTACTCTGTGTGTATGTGTGTATAGATTTGTGTATGCACGCGGGTGTGCACGTGCGCACACGTGTGCCTCTCTCTGTAACTCTGTCTCTGTCTATCTCTGTTTCTCTCTCACACATGCATACACACACAGAGACAGCCATACAAACTACTAAGAAGCAAAGAAGTAGAGAGAGGGAATAGGAAGAGGCAGCATGCTATCAGGAAACTTCATGCCTGTCAATGTGAGCTTATGTTTTTCTGGTCACCTCCATCTGCACTATGACTAAGGGGAAGGTGTGAGAATGAGGTTGTACCAGTTCAACCCAAACTATTTACATCACCTTTTCCAATACCTGCCTCTGAACAAGGTGTGAACAAATTTTTTTTTCCGTAGCTAATGCTCTCATTCCAGAAATGTCTAGAGCACCTCTCTCTCAATTTCAGTTTTCCCAGCCAATTAAGCATTCACAGTTGGCCCTTGTACTTGTCAGCATTCTCCAGAGGAAGAGTTGGGTATAGAAGGAGATTTACTTATCATTTGTGCTATTAATATTTTATACAATATTTTAATTTATATTAGTATTTTATTACTGTGTGTATAGTTTCTGGAGATCAAAACCAGCTCATCAGGCTTGGTGGCAAGCAGCTTTACCTGGTGAGCAATCTCTCTGCCCATGGAAGATTTATTGGACTGGTTAACATAAGGTTTGGCATAGTCCACCATTGGCCAGCTGCATGTCCAGTACAGATGTGGATGCCTCAGCAGTTCCAATCTGCTGCTGAAGACGTAGAAACTCCCAAGCATTGGTTTCATTGAAGGCAGAAGGAGCTAGCGTGATGTCCATGGAGGATTGCTACAACAATGGGTGAATCCTCAGGTAAAGAAGAAACTTGCTATGAACATCAACTATGTTCATAGCAGCACTATTTGTAATAGCCAGAACCTGGAAACAACCTACGTGCCCCTCAATAGAAGAATGGTTAAAGAAGGTGTGGAACATATACACATTGGAGTTCTACTCAGTGGTAAAAAAACAATGACATCTTGAATTTTGCATGCAAATGGGTGGAAATAGAAAACGCTTTACTGAGTGAGGTAACCCAGACTCAAAAAGAGGAATATGGTATGTACTCACTCATAAATGGATTCTAGCCATAATTAAAGGACATTGAGCCTATAATTAGTGATCCTAGAGAAGTTAAATAAGCTGAACCCAAAGAAAATCATATAGTTATTCTCCTGGATATAAGAAGTAGATATGATTACCAAGCAAAACTTGCGTGCACAGGGTGTGGGGGGTGGATGTAAGGGAAGATGGGTAGAGAGAAGGGAGAAGGGGAAGATTTGGAAGAGCTTGGGGGAATGGGATGGGTGAAATGGAGGAAGGGTGGATATGGGAGCAGGGAAGTAAATATCTTAATTAAGGAAGCCATTTTAGGGTTTGCAAGAGACTTGACTCTAGAGGGGTTCCCAGGTCCAAGGAGAGGTCCCCAGGTTGTTCCTTGGGCAGCAGAGGAGAGGGTGCCTGAACTGGCCTTGTCCCATAGCCACACTGATGAATATCTTGCATATCATCATAGAACCTTCATCTGGCGATGGATGGAGATAGAGATAGAGACCCACATGGGAGCACTGGACTTAGCTCCCAAGGTCCAAATGAGGAGCAGAAAGAGGGAGAACATGAACAAGGAAGTCAGGACCATGAGGAGTGCATCGACCCACTGAGACGGTGGGACTGATCTAATGGGAGCTCACCAAGGCCAGCTGGGCTGGGAGTGATGGAACATGTAATCAAACTGGACATTCTGAAAGTGGCTGGCAATGAAGGCTGACTGAGAAGCCAAGGACAATGGCACTGGGTTTTGATTCTACAGCATGGACTGACTTTGTGGAAGCCTGGTTTGTTTGGATGCTCACCTTTATAGAGCTGCATGGAGGGGGGAAGACCTTGAACTTCCCATGAGGCAGGGAATCCTGACTGCTCTTAGGACTAGAGAGGGAGGAGGAGGTGGGAAGGGGGAGGGAAAAGGGAGGCTGGGAGGAGGTGGAAATTTTTAATAAATAAATTAATTAATTGAAAAAGAAGAAGAAGAA